AGGTTTGATTGGTTTTCGCGCGGTCAAGTGACGCGTGTGATTCTACAGTTTAAAGAGCACACGGTTAAAAATGGCCAGAGAGCAGGTCATCGAACAAGGAACATGTTACATAGAGATTAGCTTAAGAATGTGTGTGGCCCACCCCTTACTTAATTCCGTTCTGGTTAAGCAGTTAGTACGGTTTGCTGGCATCCTTTGGGCGCTTCAGCTGAACTTTCAACCGTTTCATGCCGATTTGGAAGCCGTTCATTGACTGGATCGCAGCCTGAGCACTGGAAGCGTTGTCGAAACTGACGAAGCCTGCAACAAGACATAATTTGTTGATAATCGAACCTTCATTTATCTTTTAAAGTTTAATTTATTTACGGTTTTTGCTTGTAAATTATTTTTTGAAATCACTTATTCAATATATGAAAGGACGTTGTTCTCTGAACGTTGAACTTATTTTGATACTGTATAGCTTGAAGTAGCTAATTTTGCACCTGGAACCACATCTGTTTGCAACTGATTTATTTGGTGTGTCGTGTCCTCATATTTGCCTAATCAACTGTATTGTTTTGCAAAACTTTGTTTTATTAAGACTAGCAAATAAAATACATGGGATTGACTCATGAAAGCCTTGGATGGGAACAGCAGCCAGAGAAATGCAATGGTTGGCAAAATGAGGTAATCAGTTTCAGTGAGGCACAGATCGAAGAGGCTGTGAGTGAAGTGCTGAAGGACAACCAAATCCTGCATCATACCGCTTATCCTCTACGCTGCGCCGATTTGTTTCAGTAGTCTCCACAAAAAACAACTGGCTCGCATCCAGAGCCTATTAAAACTACTTGGCCGACTGTGTAAGGCTGACGATTATGGGTAAGCCCTAACCAGGTGCCTGATAAAGATAATATTTGCTCCTTGCAGTTCTATTCTAACCGACCTAACTCACCAACTGTACCGGTGTCTCCAACTGTCCCTTTCCAAGTGGTCGAACACAAGGCCCTCATGTGTTCCCCGCAGGTACCTGACCTAGGATTACCAAGAGTCTGCCTTTCCGTTCGTTACGAGCTGACTGATCGACCTCTGGAAATAAAAACATCCATTTTGGACCAGACTCTGACTGGTCTGATAGGGATCAAAATTTTTGATGCTTGTTTTGTTGTACTGTGCTTGATCATTTCCTATGTCCGCGTTTGGGCAAGTTTTCTTATGCTATTAAGAAAATTTGACGGCTTACAAGGCGAAGTACAGCAGATTGGATATAATGAGGCAGTAATATTTAGAACTGACAAAGGTCCTTGCATAATTGAAATTGTTTTGTTTATGAAAAAGTCTCTATAGCATCACTCTCAAGAGGACAGGTTGAGAGACCACCGTCCGTATCACTCCCTCAAAGAGTGTATCTTGAAATATTTTCTTTGGTTTGCTTACTCCCTGAACGAGGAATACAGCTCATGGTAGAAAACGCAAAATAGTTCTTATGATTACTGACAGAACGTGTGAAGAACTGGTTAAGAAATAATACCCATCATGAAACCACAACGATCAGCTTTCAATAAATCTTGCGTAGTAACTTTGTCTTCTTTGCTATGAAAGAGTGACGTTTGTAATTATGAGCATTTTGGCATTCTTGACATTTCTAGCTATACGGAATTCATCGTAATTTGAAACACAAATATCTTACCGAAACACTTGCTTTGATTGGTCGCCCTATCGATGAATACTTTGGCGGAAATCACGTGACCGAATGGCATGAACATCTGCATCAGCTCGGCGTCCCCAAACTCCTGTGGTAGGTGGTAAATAAACAAATTACAACCATCAGGACCTGAAATCGAAAGCCATCTGATTCTTGTTTTGCCTGCTCCTCAAAGTTCAATAACAGAAAGCCGTTGTTATCCACCATACATGCATAGACAAAGGACTTTGAAGGATCAGATTTAGCCAAGAAGGGTAGCTTCAGCACATGGAATTTAAGTTGATTTTTTTATCATATTCCTTCAACTGACCTCAAATGGTATAACGCCGCATAGTGAATTGACGAGGCAATAAATTTGCAACAGTTCGAATCATACTTTCTCTATCGTCAGTCTCCTAAGCTGGAAGATAAGTGAAGCCCTGGTCACTAAATTTAAAGAATATAAGAACAAAGCAGGTATGGGACTAAATTCATGACGGAACCGAGCAATGAAATTCTTTTTTAACACATTCGAGGTTGAACACTTGGCTATGCAATAATACCTGATCTTTGTAATCCTACTGTAACAT